CATATTTAAATTTACATTTCACTGCTGAGGAGGTTAAAGTACCTTCCTATTCTTACGACCATTCATTTTCAGCTCTTATCATTCAGCAGTCAACAGTGTTGGGCACCTGTCAATGAGGTGACCGCCTAAAACCCAGCATGCGTGTATATACCAGGGAGAGCAGGACATCAGCAGCTGACAAAACAGAAGGACAGCGGAGTGTGGTCAGAGCCAGGACCGAGGGACATGGTGGTAGCCAGGTTGACCGTTCAGCTTAGGCCAGAGAGCAAACACTCCAGGCGTAGATGTGGTGCTTGCTTCTTTTTAATCAAAAGCGGTCCTATCTCCATCACTGTGTTCGCATTGTGTTCTGGAGTGATTAGGGAACTATTTGCTCTACAGAAGATAGGTTTGAGCCAGCACCATGGTTTATTATGTTTATTATTATTATTCCATAGTTGATCATTAAAGGGAAATCAGGCACAGGGAACCCTCAGAGCGAACACCAATTTTGAAGGTACATGGATGTAAACAAAATTATTTTAGAAACTTCTAGTGCCCCAATGCAACTTTGAGTATAGAGAAATAAAGATAAATGTCTTTCTATGTGGAAATATTTTATTTTACTCATGTACTTTCCTAATTTTCTCAGAATTAATACTAGTTACTTTAAAAAAAAATTTCAGGTCATTGTCTTCCCATTTTGTACTGACAAAGTGTGGTTGCCGTGGTTTACTGCTGGTCAAGGGGCTGTGGCCTCACTCTGTACCCCATGCTCCATGGGCTGTGAGGCAGCTCAGGGGTGCCGTGTCATGTCCTTCCTTTGTTGGAGAGCAGATAGGTAGAAGGAGTCCCCCCGAAAGCATCCCCCTGGTAGCATTTTCATGACCCCCAACTTTTTTCCTTTTTGAGGCCAAGGAAGGCTAATAGTAGCAGGTTGTGTTGTCATTGTTGCCTAAGTTAGTTTGGTTAAAATGTTTATGCCTTTGGCTTTTCTTTTTTCCTTTGTTGGCAGAATTTCTGTCCCAAGGGCCTTGAGGACGTGAGTCACTGTGCCTGTGGTGGTAGGACACAGCTTCTCCTGGGAAGTGGGGGGACATTCGTTTGGGTGATTCTAGGACCATATAAGTGCTCTGCAGGAGCAGCGGCTCTGGGTCCAGGTTCAAGGTACACCTCTCAGCCAGAGGCACACCAGAAGTACAAGACCAGCTTCCATCCCTGGCCTGCCACTTCTTCATCAGCAGATTTCCTGAGTAGCCCAAGCTGCTCTTTCAGCTCCCACTCCTATCCTAATGGCTTCCACATTCTATGCCCAGGATCAGCCCCGTACCCAAATTCCAGGTCCTGGTATCAGTATCCCATTGTAGTTTTCATTCAAACACGACACAGGTGCTCAGCACGTGCCCCTCTCCACTGCCAAAAAACAAACAAGTAAACAAAGAAGTCTGCAAAGTATTTAAGAGAAACTCCTGCTGAGGGTGACTGGAAAGAGTTGTCAGTCTCATACATTGGGTGCATTGCACTCTGGTGGGGTGCACACAGGTCCTGTTTAGCTTTCTGCAGCAAAGCCGAGCAATCCTCCACATGTCCTTCTTCAGACTGGCCAGTGACCTCTTCTCAGGATGCTGGCAACCAACAATGTTCAAAGGAAATTCATCTGCAACCTGGGAGTTATCTGCACTTGATTGACCTGAGGTGCACCTGCTGGGGCCAGTGTGACTATACCGTGTAACTCTGAACTTCTCGGCAGGAAATGTAGACATTCTCACCAGAATTTGGAACACATCACAAGAAGCACCAAAACTCTGTGGACTTCCATCTCCTGGTCCTCTCCCACCCTGAATTAACTTTGTCTGAATCCTTTTGTGTTGACAGTGCACGAAGGAATGGCAAGTGAATTGATCAAGCTCTTTCTCATTAAAAAAAAAAGTCAAACCAATTAAATCACCCCAATTCTTACATCTTATTTTTGCCTTTACAAGTGGTATCATTCTCTCTCCAGTAGCTCAAATGAGAAATTGTAGGTGCTATGTTTCCACTAAGTCTCCTTGCCTCATCTCACCTATAATGTCTTTCAATTATCTTCCCTCAGTCTCAATGCTGTATTGCCTTTTTTGTTTGTTTGTTTTATCTCCAGGACTCACACCCATTCCTGGCACATAGCAGACATTTAGCAAATATTTAGGGAGTGAAAGAACATGTACTGAGACCAACAAAGCACCCAGTTCTGCAGAAAACAATTATCTCGGGGAATACAGGTGAGAACCAGAAAATCCTTTAATAGGAAGAATATCTGGGGAGACATTCAAGAGAATAATATTTTGTCTTGATCAGGACAGCCAGATACAAAAGAGGATTGTTTTGAGCAAGAAGAACAATGCCGGGCAACTTATAAGTAGCAAGATTTCAAATAAATCAATCGATCAAAGGCAAAGAGCAGGCTGAGTCAAAGTTGGCACAGCTGAAGGGCCATTTCATCATTAGGAAGATAAAGTAGAAACTTTCTGAGAGTAGCATTTTTTAAAAGAGAAACAAGCAGAGTTAACATGTGGAGGATGCTGTCGAGAGGTGGGATGCCTTTCTGAAGACTACACACGAGAAACATGGAGGTGATACATTGAGAAAGAAAAGTGTCCCCCTAGTTCGTGTCTTCCTCCAATTCTCTTACAGGTAACATCAGCTGATGCCAGAAAACAAAAGCAGAATTGGAAAAAAAAAAAAAGTCCAAACCCTGTCTGACGCCCAATTAAGGTCTCAGTTGTGTAACAAAGACTAAAAACTCAAAAAGTTTGCCATGTGGAGTTGGCGTTGTGGCATGAGGGTTAAGCTGCTGCCTGTGATGCTGGCATACGGATGTCAATTCAAGTCCAGGCTGCTCCACTTCTGACCTAGCTCCCTGCTGGTGCATCTGGGAAAACTGTAGAAGGTGGCCCAAGCTCTTAGGCTTCTGCCGCCGTGTGGGAAACCTGGATGAATTTCCTAGCCTCTGGCTTTGGCCTAGCTCAGTCCTTGCTGTGGCGGCCATCTCGGGAATGAATCAGCAGATAAAAGATCCCTCTCTTTTTCTGTTTCTCCCTCCATCTCTGTAACTCTGACTTTCAGATAAATACATGATTTTTTTTTTTTTCAAAGAGGCTTATCATTTGCAATAGCCTGGTGAAAACCCTGGAAATTCTAACCAAACATGGAAGGACCTGATTCAGGATAATAGGGAGATAGGGACTTAAGAAAGAATGGGAACTCAAGAGCCATCCGAAGAGGAACAGGGAGGGGGCTAAGCACTTGTTCTAGAATGATTGGACATATAGCTGGTATGGAACTGTCAGAATTCTGTCTTCAGATCCAGCGTGGAAATTAGTGACTACAGCTTGGGAGGGACTCTGTATCCAATTCATTGATGAAACAAATGAAGGTCTCTTGTAGGAGCAGAGAGATGGAGAGAGTGAAGTGTGTTGAAGAAAAAAAAAGAGTGAATGTCCTTACGTGGGAGCTACTAAACCAAGGCAAGGGCTTCTAGATCTTAAAGTTGTAATACAGGCAACCAACATAAGAGCTAACCAGCCCCAAATAAAGCCTTGAGTCTATGCAGGAGACAGTGGTACTAGAGGGTAATGTACAGGCTCTAAGTTCATCTTTTGCACGAAAGTCCATGTTTTATTAGCTGTTATTTATGTATCATGACAGCCAGAGAAAAACTAGGTGTGTGTGTTGGGGCAGGGGGTGAAAAGAAAGTTCGCTTCTATCATGTGAGAGTTTTATGTTCAGGTATGGTATAAGGTATTTCCAAAACCTATGCCAGGGCAGATTCAGGTGGGACGGCTTCATCCGCTATCAGGAAGTGCGTGGGTTCATATCCTGGTCCCTGATTCTAGTATCCTGCTTGCTTGCACCCTGGGAGGCTCAAGGACTTGGGTCCCAGCCACCTGTGTGGGAGGCCTGGATGAAGTCCTAGGCTTCCGTTCAGCCTGGCCGCAGCCCCAGCTGCTGAGGACATCTGGGGAGTGAACCAGAAATTGCATGATCTCTCTGTGTGTCTGTTTCATTCTCTTCTTTTTAAAATAAAATAATGAACAGGAAACAAAATCATTTTCAATGGACTGCCATGTCCAATCAGAATGCAGTGTACAAACACTGTCTTGTGTACTAGACCCGAGGGTCTTCACGTTTTAAGTTTCAGTTTCTTTTCTACAAGCTGTGATAAAGTCACATCTTTGTGCATTCATTCGAAATGTTATATTGATCTTGATTAATTGTCTTACCAGTCTAGAAGTATAACACCTGTTTCACAAGAAGAAAGGAAGGTGAAACTGTCGTGGACAAAGGTATAAATCCTGACTAGTTTGGCCATAATTATCTACCTAGATAGTGTTTATATTGATGTTAGCTACTCTTAGAAAGCAACACTGACTTTGAAAGCTACACTGAGGCCAGCTTGGGCCGAAACAGAACCCAATTGCTTCTTTGTTATTATCCCATTGCCCATCCCACCCAATCCCAAAGAAGTCTCTCTCATGCTTGACAGGCCCTCATCTCCACTGTTAGAGCCCCATCCCTTTTGCAAAAAGCATTGTCCTGTAAGCGGCCCTGGGGAAGGACCTCAGGCTCCAGGTGATTGTTTTGGTCAGGTCCTTTCTTGACACCTGTATTGATAGAAATTGAAAATAGAGCCAGAGGGGTTCCTACCTATTGACTTAATGAGAGAGAGAAAGAACTGGAGCCACATTAAAGGCTGGCAAGGGTAAAGTTGGCCTGCTCCCCAATTGGGCTAAAGCTGCCTGCCATCCTTGACCTCATCCTTACCAGGACAGCGAGCAGGGCTATCTCCAGTTCATCCCAGTTCTAGGAATTCACGGATACAGGGAATTCAACCATTCTCCCCAAGTCCCAGATTAATGGCAGGAAGAGGGCAGGTGCTAGTCCTCAGCTAGAAACTTTGGGGTCTCAGGGACAAAGTGAAGGATGGGAGGTGAGGGTGTTGTTCACAAAATTGAGTTTGCAATATTTTCCTTGTTATTGGGAAGGATGACGAGAGAAAAATGCTGTATATGCAGATAGAGACCCTGCAGGCGACGCTGGAGTCAGAGACCAAGAAGTTAGAAAGGTGAGGGTGCAGGGACGCGGGGCACCATGTGGGCAGCGGGGTTGGCATGAAATCACCTGTCAGTCTATTACAGATACAAGAAGGAGGCAGAGCAGATCAACAAAAACTGGGAGAAGAAGTTCTTCATCCTCAGGAACAGGTACCGTTGCTTCTTTGATCCCGTTCCCTCTGTAAAGACAGGACTGATGGTCCCTCAGGGAAGTGTGGGGCGGGAGGGGCTGCACTTTTTGCCACATGTGAATCAACTTGAAAGTCCCTCAGCTACTTTGAAGAGAAATGTGTAACACTTGGCTGCCCGTACAAGACAGCTTTCCCCATACGGATATTCCATGTACACTTTAATAGCAACACGATCCATTTCTGTGAGTTAAATTTTATCCAAGTAAGTTATTTTGAATGCTTTTCCAGTGCAAACAATACTGCATTGTAAATACACTGTTGCTATTCATGCTTTTTTATTTTATTTTTAAAAAAGATTTATTTATTTATTGGAAAGTCAGATATACAGAGAGGAGGAGAGACAGAGAGGAAGATCTTCCATCCGAGGATTCACTCCCCAAGTGAGCGCAACAGCCGATACTATGCCGATCCAAAGCCAGGAACTTTTTCCAGGTCTCCCACACGGGTGCAGGGTCCCAAAGGCTTTGGGCCGTCCTCGACTGCTGCTTGGCCTGCTGCATTAACAGGGAGCTGGAGAGCATGAGAGCAATCGGTGTTCATGCTGGTGCTCTGATTAGGGATGCTTGGTCACAGCAGCCCGCCTGCCGTGCCACACCGCTGACCCCACTGCTGTTCTGACAAGATGCGGCGGTGGTGTGTGAGCGGCCCAAAGAAATACAGTGTTGGGGGGGTTGTTTGTTTGTTTGCTTGCTTTTGTTTTTAAGCCAGATTTTAAAAAACTATTTATTTTTATTGGAAAGTCAGATATACAGAGAGGAGAGACGGAGAGGAAGATCTTCTGTCCGCTGAGTCATTCCCCAAGTGATCACAATGACCAGAGCTGAGCTGATCCAAAGCCAGGAGCCAGGAGCTTCCTCCAGGTCTCCCATGCAGGTGCAGGGACCCACGGCTTCGGGTTGTCCTCAGCTGCTTTCCCAGGCCACAAGCAGGGAGCTGGATGGGAAGCAGGGCTGCTGTGGTTAGAACTGGCGCCCATATGGGATCCCAGCATGTGCAAGGCGAGGACTGTAGCTGATAGGCTACTGCACTGGGCCTGTAAGTCAGATTTTTTTAAAAGATTTATTTTTATTGGAAAGCTGGATATGCAGAGAGGAGGAGAGACAGAGAGAAAGATCTTCCATCCAGTGGTTTACTCCCCAAGTGGCCACAACGGCTGGAGCTGAGCCAATCCGAAGCCAGGAGCCAGGAACTTCTTCCGGGTCTCCCACACGGGTGCAGGGTCCCAAGGCTTTGGGCCATCCTCGACTGCTTTCCCAGGCCACAAGCGGGGAGCTGGAAGGGAAGTGGGGCTGCCGGGATTAGAACCCGCACGCATTTGGGGTCCCAGTGTGTTCAAGGTGAGGACTTTAGCCACTAGGCTATCGCGCCGGGCCCCTCTCTTATAATTTTAAAAGATAAGAATCCACATGCTATCTAGGTTATTACATTATTTCTGGTGATAGCATAAGACATGGCAAGCCACACCCCATCCTTCCAGGAATCGGCATGTTCTGTCCATGCTTATGAATGAGGTTGAGTTACTCTTTTTTTCTTTCTCATGCTTGTTCTCTGTTGCTGACAGCAGCAAGGTCGTGCTGCTCCCTCAACACTGTTAGCTGTGAGGTTATCCCTCTTTGCTCCTGGAGAAATAGGAAGGATAAGAATTATCCATTGCTAGATGGTTTGCTAAACTGACTTTTAAGTTAGCTGGGCTGCATTGCTTGGTGACAAGCATATCTTAAATAATGATTATTTTTCTTCTCAGGATTTAAAGACTATGAAAGCTTTCTATGTCTTCTTGATTCTGTTTCCTCCCTTTTTAATAAAAATTTAATAAGGATTTCTTTTAAAAATTATTTTAAAGAGAGAGAGAGAGAGACTTCCAACTACTGGTTCATTCCCCAAATTGTCACAACAGCTGGGGCTGGGCCAGGTCAGTGGCAGGAACCTGACCCTTGAGCAGTCATGCCAGTCTCCCATCCGAAGTGCCTTCACCAGATCCCAGGATGTCCTGCCACGGCCCCAGCCCAAGCCCAGAGTCTCATCCGAGGGTCCTTAGCTTAGAACACATCCCCCCCACTCCCGGCTATACCACCTAGAACGGACCTGCATGAGGCTGCAGGAGGACTCCCAGAAAGGGGGCAGGGATGCAGGTGTGAGATTGGCACAGAGGGATCATGGGTGTTACGGCTGCTTTTGTCTGGAAGGGGGCGAAAAGGAGGGGAAGAAGGCATCACCTGCTGTGGCAGCTTTTCAACCTTGAGATCCCATCAGGCGCCAAGCCCCAGGAATGAGTCTGTGTGTGACATGGGCTCTGCTACCCTGAGCCAGAAGAACTGCTTGGCTTAGTTCTTTCTCATCCCCGAAAGACAGCTCCTGCTTGCAGTGGAGTCTTCCTGTCCAGCCTTTTGCTGCCTGTCTCTTTCTCTCACTCGTGTTCCCCTCCCTGTCCTTTACAGTTCCAACTAGCAGAATTTTTTGTTGCTGTTCATACTACATTGTGCAAACCCTGTGAGTCTCTTGCCTGTGTCATGGTTAGAGGCAAAGAGAGAAAGAGAGATCTCACATCCACTGGCTCATTCCCCAGATGCCTTTAACTTCATCCGTTGGACGCTGGGCCAGGCTGAAGCCAGGAACTGGGAACTCCCTCCAGGTCTCCCATGTGCATTGGAGGGACCCAAATTCTTGAGCCAACACCTGCTGCCTCCCTGAGTATGCACCAGGAGGAAGCTGGAGTCTTAAGCAGAACTGGGACCCTAACCTGGGAACTCTGACCTGGGCTGCACACGTTCTAGGCAGCATTTTGGCCACTGCGCCAAGCAGCACCTGCTTCTTCTGTGCCCTGTGATAGCATCTTTGAATTCCTTACTTCCTGGCAGAGCATGAGGCACCATGTGATACCTTCCTGACTTTAGATGCAGACAGCCGTTTCTGAAGGATGTTCTGCTTCCTCCCAGTGGGAGGTGTGTCTAAGCCATCATCTGGCCCTCAGAGGGGTCATCACCATTGCTTCTGGGCCTCTTCAGAAAAACAAGAGGAGAGAGAGACAGTGAAAGCGAGCTAGCTGACTCCCTAAATGGCCGTAATGTCGGGGACCAGGCACAAGCCAGGAATCAGAAGCTAAATCCAGGTCTACCACATGGGTGACAGGGGTACAGTGACTCGTGTCATCTGTTGCTTTCCCCCAACATATCAGCAGGGAGATGGATCAGAAGTGGATCAGCCAGGACTCATGACACAGTGGCAGTCCCTCATGTGGCTCTTTAGAAAATATATTTTCCATGATACAGTTTTGTAGGTATAGGGGACCCTCCCTCCCCCATCCTTCTCTCCCAGTAGTCCCCTCCCGCCATTGTCCTCCAAATGATCATAGGAGTAACCGCTTAAAAATTTTAAAAAATTATCTGTTATTATTGTTTTATAATACAGTTCCATAGGCTCTGGGATTTCCCGTCCTCCCCCTCAAGCTCCCCACCACAATTGATTTTCCCCTCTAGTATTAACAATGGGTGGTTCTTCATAAAAGTCGTAAGCTCATCATGTTGTTATTGGAGTGTTTCCTGACATTGCAGGCATGGACAGTGTCAGAGAGTCCAGCATCCTATTTTTAGGATATTTTCAACTGTTTCACTGGGAGTTCATCTTTGGTCTGGATGCAGAGAGATGCTCTGCTCTAGGTCTCCACGTCTGAACACATCAGTCTCTGCTACACTTGTATTATCTCTTACAGTTCTTAACCACACCCACGCAGAACACTGGTTTGCTTTGCGCCGTGGCCACGCTGCATTCTCACGCCCCTGCCTCTCTGATTGCAGCTATCACATGCTCAAGGACGAGATGTTCATGAGACACACGCTGTTCCGTCAGTTTGCGGTGCTGACTGACACGTCCTTCAATTACATCGTGAGTACCTGTCACGTTTCCGACTTTCTCTCTCTCTCACTTCCGGACGCGTCCTTGTGTTCTGCTTGTGGAGTCCCTGTGGTCGCAGGCTCTTGAGCTGCACCACAAGGGCGTAAGAGTGTACCAGCAGAGTGCATCTGCCCCAAGAGCTCAGCCCGCCGTGAGGCAGAGGGGTGGGGACACACAGGGAGGATGCTGTGTGGGTGGTTAAGGCCAAGGTCAGCACCGGGGGATTCATCCTGAGACCACCAGCCCTCAGCCTACACCTCCGTGGTCACAGATGGAACCTGGACAGATAGCGAGCACATCTGAGTGTCCAGCTGCCTCCTGGATGAGGAGGAAGGTCCTACTACAGGCCACTCTTTTTCACAGTCAAGGCCATCCGTAATAAAGCCAATCTCATCCGTGTCTTCGTTCAAGAGTTCAGATTGCTAGGGTAAACGATGCTCAGAGTACAATCCCATTTAGCAGATTTCAGCAAGTAAATCAGCATGCGTCAAACTCTGCCAAGCATCTGCTGTGATGTCACATGCTCTTAGGACAAGTCATGTGTGGGTGGGGGGAGGTGGGCAGGGGGTGGCACAGAGCACAAGAAACAGAAAACACAGTTTTATGGGGCCCACCATGGTGCTCTAGCAGCTGGAGTCTTCGCCTTGCATATATGGGTGCCAATTCTGGTCCCAGCGGCCCTGCTTCCCATCCAGTTCCCTGCTTGTGGCCTGGGAGGGCAATCGAGGACGGCCCAGGGACTTGGGACCCTGCACCTGTGTGGGATACCCGGAGGAAGTTCCTGGCTCCTGGCTTTGGATCTTTGGGTTGGCTCAGCACTGGCCATTGTGGCCACATGGGGAATGAGTCATCAGACGGAGGATCTTCCTCTCTGTCTCTGCTCCTCTCTGTATATCTGACTTTCCAATAAAAATAAAATAAATCTTCAAAAAAGAAAACCACGATTTTATTTTGTTATTGCTTCGAGAGGTTCACAGTCATTTAAAAGAATCTTGAAAGTTTTTCAGGGTTTATCTCTTTAAGGCTGTTTTCTAAATTTAAGTTTCTGAAGGAAACCAAAGAACTTGAGTCTAGTGACAGAATAACATACAAGCATTTCTTGTTTTTAGCTACCTTCCCACACTGGCTTTTGCCTTGCTAACACTCCCTCACAGTGTTCTAAAGGGGTCTGCACAGACAGGAATCTATTTTAGCTCATTTCAGCTATTTAACCAGCTTGACCGATACATATGGGGGAACACAGGTTGAACGCTTTTCTGTCTCAAAACAGGTGTTCTGCTGCCGTATGGTCATGCTTTCTGGTCCAAATCTGAAGTGTTGAGGATTGTGTCACTGCTGTTCTACATCTCAAAAAATATGCCAGCATAGGCCCATCAGTAGATGCAGTCCTTTTCCTTTTTTAAAAAAATTCTTCATTCATTTTCTTTTTTTTTTTAAAGATTTATTTTTATTATTTTTTCATTGGAAAGGCGGATATACAGAGAGGAGAGACAGAGAGGAAGATCTTCCATCCGATGATTCACTCCCCAAGTGAGCGCAACAGCCAATGCTATGCCGATTCGAAGCCAGGAGCCTCTGCCGGGTCTCCCACGCGGGTGCAGGGTCCCAAAGCTTTGGGCTGTCCTCGACTGCTTTCCCAGGCCACAGGCAGGGAGCTGGAAGGGAAGCGGGGCTGCCGGGATTAGAACCGGTGCCCATATGGGATCCCGGGTGTGCAAGGCGAGGACCTTTAACCACTTGCGCCACTGCGCCGGGCCCTCTTCATTCATTTTCATTTGAAAATAAAAATGAGAGGGAGAGAGAAAAAGGGAGAGGCATGCTGTTTCTCTCCTATGAGGTCTATAGTATTTATGGTAAGATACACAGATAATATGTGTGGTTGTTGGCAGAGCTGTGGCCTAACTGTAGGTATGCAACACTTCCAGTGTCCCCTGAAAGCTCTGTCGGGTCCCTTTCTGTAAGAAAGCGGTGGCCTCCATTGTGTGGGATGGCCAGGCATCTTTTACACAACTCAGTGCAGTTAGAACTGAGCCGTGCTGCTGTGGGTACCCATTGCAGTTGCCCATGTTGCATTGCAGAGTCATGCTTATGATGTGACTAGAACAAAAGTTGGGTGTCCATTACCCCCTTGTTAGACCTACCTGGATTGTTTCTGATAGGGGACTACTGTAGACAGCTTCATTCAATCATTTGAGAAAATGTAGCTTTTCATCTCTAGGGTGGAAGTGGAGTGGCTGGGACCCATGTGTGTATGGAAGTTCCATAAGAAGCAGCCCTAATTGCAAGGAGACCGTATCCACTGAGCCTCCCATCAGCAGTGCAGAGCCGTCCAGTAGCCCCATGCCCCTACTGGCATCAGTGTTTTTCCTCCTTTCAGCCATCCTATTGCTGCTCACTTTTCATTTTCCTGGTGGTTAATAACAGTGTACAACCTCTCATGGGCCCATTGGCCCTTCTTACCTCTGCTTTTAGCTCGGCTTGGGTTCCAGACTCCATTTAAAAGTTGTGCTGAATTATACGTGATGGAAGATTCACCCTCTTCATCACTTCCTGGTATACATCACGGGTACTAAGCAGACTCAGTGCTGTGTGGCCTCCAGAGCACCTCACCTGGCAAAGGTGAAATGTCCCACTCATCCAATACCTGCTGGCTCTCTCACCCCTGCATTGTCCAGAGCTCGTGGATGAGCTACAGGACTTCTGTCACGTTGTCTGGAATTAAACCAAATGGTGCTACTTGGTTATCTATATTCTGGATGCAAGTCCTCTGTGTCACAAACACGAATCACAGAGACTGGTTTTTTTTTTTTTTCCCTCCATCTAGAGACAATCTTGGTCTGAATGGAGACCCACATGGCTCTGTCTGGAGAGGCAGTCCATCTTTTCTGTGACCATGTTTGCATTTCACAACCCACACATCTTCCTCCTAATGGGATTTTGAACTTTTCCATGGAAATGTCCCTGGCTCTAGACTGGTCGACTGCACATGTCTGGATCTTCTTTCTGAACACACTGTTGTATTCTGTTGCTTTGCTTGTCAGTCCATGCCACGCTGTCTTAGTTAATATAGCTTTAGGTGAGTCTTAAGATCAGGGCTGTGAATTCCCAGACTTTACTTTCTCTCCCTCAAGGTTGTCTTGGAGGTTCCTCCACCCTTAACGTTTTTAGAATCTGCAAATCTACTTTGTACAATTTTGATTGAGATTTTATTTAATTGTGTTTCTCTGAATTCTTTTGAAATTTTCTCTCTTTCGTTTTGTTGTTTGAAAGGCAGACAGACAGATGTCTAGAGAGTGAACCATCCTCTGGCTCTCCTTTAGGCAGGAGCCTGGAACTTCATCCAGATCTCCCAAGGAGATTGCAGGAACCCTAGTCCTTGAGCCTCCTAGGGTGTGCTATTAGCAGGAAACTGGATTGGAAGCAGACAAAAGGGGACTTGAACCAAACATCTAACGTGCAAACTTTGTAAACTGTTGTGTCAGAAACCCAGCTCCAGAGAATTCTCTAGCCAGCAATTTACCATTATCTGTCTAGCCTAAATAAATAGAGGATGAGCATTTGAGTGTTGATGCTGGCAAGCATAGTTGTTCCCGCCATGGTAGCTGGGTTTCATGTGTAATATATACAGCATGGTAGGATATTTTTATACTCAACTCAGAGGGACTCTTTAAAACCCTCATTACATATCCATTGTACCTTCACGGACACACTGCTAGGTTCTGTCTAGTCTCAGACTCCAGGCAGCCTGGAACGTGCTTGGTCCCTCTGATGTGTTTCTGTTTGCACTTCCCCACTCTCTTTGCTATTCTTGTTTCATTTTGTTTCAGTGGTGACTCTGTGAGCGGAACCTGGTTGGATTTTAGTCTTTTTCATCTACCCTGACATTTATTTATGTGGAATGGGCAAACTGAAACTGGGCACTTGTCAGCAGAGGTGAGAGGAGAAACAGAAAGATCTTCCCCTACTAGTTCACTCCGCAAGTGGCAGCAATGACTGGAGTTGAGCCGATCAGGAGCCAAGAGCTTCTACCAGGTCTCTAATGTGCCCAGGGGCTTGGGTCATCTTCTGCTGCTTTCCCAGTCCGCAAGCAGGGAGCTGGATCAGAGGTGGAGCAGCTGGGACACAAACCACCAACGATATGGGATACTGGTGCTTGCAGGTGGAGAATTAGCTTATGGGGCCACAGCGCCACATCCCAATTTTGTATCTTAACGTGCAGGACAAAATGATGTTGAGTGCCTTTTTTTTTTTTAAACAATTTACAACATCATGAAGTTAATTGACATGGTATTGAGTGACCAGTATGTTAGAAAATGCAAGTTCTTAACCACATCCTGTAACTAAGTTTTATGTCTGGCTCAACTTCATCAACATATCCTCCTGTTCTTTTCTTTGTTAATTTTCAAAAAATATTTATTTATTTTTCTTGGAAAGTCAGACTTACAGAGAGAAGGAGGGACAGAAAGAAGGATCTTCCGTCTGTTGATTCACTCCCCAAGTAGCCACAATGACCAGAGCTGAGCTGATCCAAAGCCAGGAGCCCGAAGCCTCTTCCGGGTCTCTAATGCAGGTGCAGGGTCCCAAGACTTTGTGTCGTCCTCGACTGCTTTCCCAGGCCACAGGCAAGGAGCTAGATGGGAAGTGGAACAGCTGGGATATGAACTGGCACCCATATGTGATCCTGACATGTGCAAGGCAATGACTTAAGCCACTAGGTAACCTCAGCGGACCAGTCTTTGTTCATTTATTTTGTTTGAAGAACTACATTATCATGTGTGCTCTCATCATACAACAATACTTTTGGTTAATTAAGTGGTTTTGTTCTCTATTCCCTAACGACAGTGGTTCATACTTGATTTACATGTGTATTTGTCACTTCACCGACTATTTAACCTCATGACTCCCACAGTTCTTGTACTAGTTTTGAATTATTTCTTATAAACTAGGAACATGTATTTTGTTTCTCTGCTTTTCTGTGTGACATGTTCTCT